CATATTGTTAAATTTAGGGTTAGACAAAGCTTCGAATCGAATCAAACTGAATTGAATTGGATTCAAACCGTTTTTCTTAAATTAAATATTCAAACGGGTATCTGAATTAAAAATCGACGGGTTCGATTCAATTTTCAGTGATAGATCAAGAATCGAATAATCGAATCTCACTTATTTTTTTAATTTATTTATTTTTAATAAGCTAAATTATTTTATTTTTTCAAAATAAATTTGCTAATTATTTAATTTAGCTCAAATCCAAAAATATGATTTTCTTATTTCTAATTTTCAGTCCAAAACCAATTTAATCAAATTGACATACTCATATATGTTATTCTACTGTAGTGCTTTCTGGAGAAATCGAATTAAAACTCGACAGCTTCTCTCGTAATTATTGTAAACTTTCTATCATCATCTTCATGTGATTTTGATATCAAATCTATGAAGAACTCAGTAAAGAAAAATGTAAAAGACATAAGATTGAATTACTTGATGATGTAATAGTTAAGATTAAACATGTCATTAGTTGAATTGATGTAACTTTGTAAATATTAAAAAAATTAATTATAGTATAGCACCTGGGAACCGAATTGAATCGAATGGAACTGAACCCAAACGGTTCCACTTATTAAATACCCGAAAATTTCGGGTCCAATTTGATTCTCGTTAAAATCAAATCAAATTTGACCATGCCCACTCCTAATTAAATTTCGAGAAAAATTAACAAAACGCCCAAAAAATTTTGAAAAATGAAAACACCGTATAGAGTAAATAAGCCCCATATGATATGATCAAAAATCAAAATTTTAATATATCAAAAGTTAAAAAAAGTTAGGAACAAACATGTGCTAATTGTTGAAAAATTCTTTCTACACAATTGCCATCCAAAGTAAAGAAATTTCTTTCTCGAAGACATGCATGCAATGCATTTTACCTTGTTTTCTCAAAAAATCAAAACCTCTTATCATACTTCTAGTTGTGACTTCCTCGTAGGGACGGCAAAAATAATCATCAAATCCAATTCGGGGCAAGGATTACCAGCTTAATCGGACAATCGAGTAAGGTACAGGACGAAGAATTCCTCTCGGAGGCGGGTACAAGTAATAAGGGCCCCACCTTGCCCCTGTCCCGTTTAATTTTTTTTAATAAAGAATTCAATAATCTAAGGATCTGCTTGATTGTAAGAATGTAATTTGGGTGGAAAGAAAATGAATTTTGGAGAATTGAATTATCTAAAACTTGTTTTATTGAGAATTGTCAATTAAATGTATTTAATTTGTATAATTTTCCACTTGAAAAATATTGAAATTTTGTATCTTTTGATGTTCATTTGGCTTTGCTTTTCATGAAAATTATCAATTAAAGGGATAACATTGTTACAATTGTAGATAAAATTTGTTCCAATTGCCAAAAAAAAAAAAAATGAAAAACCAATTTCCACCAAAACCAATTCCTTAAAACCATGGAAAAGGAGGTCACGTGGGAGGTTGGGTGGAAAACAATTTCCATGGAAAATTTTACACATCAAACACATCATTTGGGTGGAAAATAAATTCCATTTTTCATGAAATTTGGAACCTATCAAACAGGCCATAAATGGAAAAACTCTATGAAATTTCATTCATTCTAATAGAAGATGGCAGCTAAAAATATCTAAAGAATATGATAAACAAAAAAAAATCTCAATTTACCAAATATATTCTTATAATTTGACTTTTAAAAATTTAATAACTATATTATTGTCTTGTTTGAATGAATGGGTGCAATAAAATGAATTATCAAAAATTATAAAAAATAATAATAAATAAACGAATACATAAACGGGGCACCCGCCCCATTGCCAACCCTACTTCCTCATTCTCCTTCTTATCTATCTCTCTAATTATTTTCTTTGCACAGAGTCTATTTATTTTTTAATTAAGTTTCATTTTAATATCTCAATATAAGCTTGTTTTGGGAGTGATTTTGAGAATTGATTTTTTGACCGTTACGAGAAAAGTGAGGTCCACCTGTGAGAGAAGAAGTCAAATATAACGGCTGGAATAGTGAAATAACGATCAAAAAATCAATTTTTTGGGTGAAAAATCGGGTCCAAACAGACAAATTACATTCTTCTTCAGCAAGAATGGTACAAGGCAAACTATAATGAATTATGTACTTAAAACCTAAGCTCAGATGTCAAACATATCAAATCTCCTACTAACTCCCACAAAGATACTTAATCACAAATGACTAGGGATATGGCAACAAGGCAGGTCGAATCCAGTTATGGCGGAGGTTGACTGTCGAACGTTGACTGTCGACGATCGTAATAGTCCGATCATTTGTTAAAATTTGATTAAATAATATTAAAAATTATTTAATATATATGTAAATGAACTAAAACGTCAAAAAAGTACCGAGTACACACAGGTTGAATTGAGCGGCAAACATTTTCTTAATTAAATTTTCACTTGTCCTAATTTCCTAAATCAATAATCATAACTCATGTCTCATAAAACATAAATTATTTATCATAAATCACAACCACAAATTCACAATTCTCCATAATAACCCACTAATCACAAATAATTATTTATAAGACCAATAAGTAATATCAATTAACACAATTTACAGACTTGAGATAACAACATTCATTATTATTTATTCAATAAATCAATGAGAAATAGCCAACAAAATATAACAAAAACAATCCCTAAAAAATAAAAATAAAAATAGCGATAAAATAGAATATAAAGCACTCACTAGTCACCAGAAAAAGCTGAATTTTGTTCGCCCAATTGACAATCACCCATGCTGTCTACTAACCAGAATGGGAAGTCGGAAATCTCAAAACACTGGAATGCCAGTTGAACTCGGCAGAAGAAGAACTTTGATGACTGAACCAGACTTTAGAGTTTAAGCTTTTGAACTTGGCTAATGGACAATGGCTGGCAGGTGGAGGCGCGGTTGAATGGAATTTGGAAGAGAGGAAAAGGATTTGCAAGCTGCTGGATTTGGGAATGAGAAATTGAGAGTCTATTACTTGATTTGGTGGAGTTTGCTATTTGGAATTGGACCATTCTTCATCCGGGGATTGCCAGTGCAGACTCGGATTGGGGTAACATTTCATTGTAAATTGGAAAAATAACGCAAAACCATACTTATAAACTTTACATTTCAAAACTAGGGTGATTAGGTTTAATTTTCTAAAATCAGGTGTTAATTATTTATTTTAAAATTAATAATAATTATAAACTAATTGTTCATTTACGTGATGAAATCTGAACCCTCTATATCTGAATTACACAGTTTTCATAATACTTCTGCACGTAATCACTAATCATCCAAACCACGTCCTTCGCGTTTTACCATAAACCCTCTCTCTCTCTCTACAGTGCAGTGCAGTGCAGAAAGAAACCACGTTCTTCTCTCTCTTCTTCTCTCTACCAGAAATATAGCAACGACGTTGCTCTCTCTCTCTCTTCTCTTCTCTCTCTCTAATACAGTAAAGTAACCTCCCACTCCATTTCTCCACTACTACAAACCGCACAATAGTTTATTAAATTTTAGTTTCAACAATAGTTGTGTTTGGAATGGCAAAAACTCGAAGTGTTGGTGCGAAAATGATGGAGAATGATAAAGGAAAGAGGAAATATGTTGAAAGAGATTCTTCTTCAGCAAAGAGAGTTAAAATGTCATCCTCTGGCGGGAAACCCATGAAGAAGGTGAACTCCAATTTTGTGACCTATTATTTGAGTAGTTTGTGACCTGATTTGGGTATTCTGCGTAGGAAATATAATTTTGTGATCTATTTTAGGTATTTTGTAATTTGAAGGTTTTGTGACTTATTTTATGTATTGCGTGATTGTGACTTTCTACTTGTTTGTGTTATGATTTTGGAAAATTTGTGACCAACTATTTTAGGATCTGGCGGGAAACACATGCAAAAGGTGAACTCCGATTTTATGACCTAATTTCTGAAATTTGTGACCTATTATTTGAGTAGTTTGTGACCTGATGTGGGTATTTTGTGTAGAAAATATCATTTTGTGACCAACTCATTGAGTAGTTTGTAATTTTTACTGTGTGATCAATTACTATTTACTTTAATCGAATGTGTTTTTAAAGGAGTGCTGGATTGTTTGCGAATGAAATAGTTGTTGTGACTTTTTACTTCTTTGTGTTATGATTTTAGAAGAGTTGGTCACAGCGAAATGTTTGTGTGTTGAAGGTCAGAGTAACATTTTTTATTTTACCATTGTGCAGGACTGGAAATACTTAATAAAACCAAGGAATTGGTTTCTGGAAAAATCACCACAACGCAAATACAGTGTGATTACGCACTTTGTGATGAAATTTAAGGCTGCGCAGAGGGCAATTCTAGAAAACACATGTTTCTCCTACTACATGCATTGTAGGGAGATAGTTGTGCAGCCACAATTGATTCACCAAGTTTTACTACGGGAGGTCAAGCAACCGAACAAGCAAGAGATGTGGTTTAATGTAAATGGGAGATATATTCGTTTTTCAATTGCTAAATTTTGTTTAGTTACGGGATTGAGGTATGATGGGGTCGATGGTCGACCAATGTTAGATGAAAAACCGTCTTCAGTGAAGGACACATATTTTAAGGACTTAAAAGTTGTTACAAGTGAAGATGTCAAGAGGGTTTTTATTTTACTTGATGATGCACCAGACCTTGACGTTGTTAAGATTGGAATTATCTATCTCATCACCTCATACTTATTTGCTACATCCTACCCGAAGGTGGTGGATCAATACATATCGCACTTGTAGACGATTTTGCCACTCTTGAAACATTTCCTTGGGGTAGATATTTGTTTGAGACCACCTTATTGTCACTAAAAAAGGGACTATCAAAACAAACTAGTCACTATAGATTGACAGGTTTTTTAGTGGCTTTCTAGGTGTGGTTATATGAGTGCATACCTGCACTTGAGGGAAATGTGGCCACAAGAATTTATAAGAAATATCCACGCATTATTAATTGGACTACGCACAAACATCCTTCAGTGTCAATGTTGGAGGACAAAGTATTTGGAAATGAGAATGTAAGGTTTTAAATACATTTAAATTCTTATGTAATCATTTGGTTGATTATATAAATTTTGAAATGGCATATGATCAATATTTTTTTATCTTATGTGAAATAGGTTGTGATAAATGACATAGATCCATCTGAAGTTGAGCTCACAATGCCATATATGACAGGTTTTAAATATGAACTTCACATTTATTATGAAACGAAATATGATTTGTGACCTGAAGTATGAATATCATGTTTGTAAAGTGACATATGTTTTATGACTGTGACCTGAAACATGTAACTTGTGACCTGTGACTCTCTTTGTCCTTATGTATGTTGTGGCTTGTGCCTTGTGACTTATGACTTAGTTTGCTCTTATGCGACTTGTGACTTGTGACTTGTGAATGTGATCGGAAACGTGTGATATGTGACTTTCTTCAGACGATTGTGAACTGAAGTATGAATATCCTGTTTTGTAAAGTCACATGTCTCTTAAGCTTGTGATGTGAAACATGTGACTTGTTTCTTGTGACTTTCTTCATTCTTATATATGTTGTGTACGATCGGTAGATGTGCAGTACTCAAAGCCTAGACAACCAACTCGGAATGTTAGGATCTCTGAAAATCAATTGGGCACAAGTGAGGCAACTCCCCTGCTATCGAAGGTAGACGTTGAAGATTCAGATTTTGTAGGCCCATCACTATATAAACAAACGGGGGTTGCTGGCTCTAGCTCTCGCGATCAGCAAAGTGCTGCCTCACATCCAGATTGCTCATGTGTTGAGGTAAGTAATATCATTGTCTTTTCACTTCAGAACACATTTTATATACAATTTCACTAACTACAAAATTTATCAGGAATGTGGTCGACTGAAGCAGTTGATTGAAAAGGAAGTAACCAAGCTCCAAGCGGAGAACAAGGGGTTGAAAGAGGAGCTTATGTCGATGAAGTCAGAACTCTCTAAGATGAATGTAAACATGCGTCAATCAAACAATTCTTTGAAGCTCAATGAGGTCATTCAGAGTCACAATGTGTTGAAAGATAGCTTGAGTGACATCAGGTTGTCTCTTAAAAATTTTGTTGAATCTGTTTCTGACATTTTATCTTCGGTGATGGATGAACTTCATAAGAAGTTGAGTGGTAAAGATGTTTTGACGGAACAAGTGCCAAAAGATGATGATGATGTTGACAAAAAGGGCAAGGGTCACATGGAACCTGAGCCAAAAGGTGATGATATTGTTGAAAAAAGTGACAATGTTCACATAGAACCCAAGCAAAAAGGTGATGATGTGGCTGAAAAAATGGACAAGGGTCACATGGCACCTAAGTTTTCACATGTTCATGATGACTATGTTCTTGAATCTCCTTCATTTGATCTAGGAGTTTGCTCCTCACAGACACCTAAAAGCTCTGATGATACATTTTTTGCCAGTAAAGAAGTGCAGGATCAGGTTGATGAGGCTATTGCACGTGTGTTGGAGTCTACTGAACTTCATTGTAAAGATGTCAGTTTAATGAACCATTTAGTGTTTTAATATTATAAATTCAGATTTATTGTCATACACTAATTTAAGAAACGTTGTTTTTATATTTTTTATTCAGGAAAAAACACCTGCACCACCATCATCTGGACTACCTGTGAAGAGAGCACAAAAGCCATCGAAAACTCTGCAGTCACCTTTTGTTAAGGTCGATCCACGTCATGCTGCTACTGGATCAAAATCTATCACTGTAAACGTCGTGTTCCAAAATTATTCCAAAGGAGTTGATAGCACAGATCTGAGTTCATTTAAGAATTGGTTTGACAGAGGATACAAGCCCAAGAACAAGTAAATTAAACGTAGATTTTAGTGTTTTTAGTGAATTGTGAGCTCCATTTCTTTTTGTGACTACAGCATTTTTGGTCACAGACAGAAATAAATTGGTCACAATCATATTCTTTGTTTGATGAGGGCATATGTGTGTGCACAGGGTAAAGTTTAAAGATGCAGATAACGTGATAAGTCCTCAGTTTGTATGTGGCACTGTCCCTGTTCATTATAAAACTTGGTGGCATGCATTGATCGATTCTAATTCATCATTGAATAGCACGATACAATTTTTTCACCATTTTCCACATATGCATAGTAGTTTTGTATTACTTATGTATATTCTTTCTTATTACAGTACTTGGATGCATGCTTTCATTACATAAGACAACTTGCCAAGTTTGGTGAAGGTGTGAAGATGAAAGCTACCACTACAGACTGCATATTTGATATGTCAATCAAGTCGACATACTCCAAGTTTATTCAAGACCCAAGCATTGTTGAGAAGAAGGATGAGCTAATCAAAACCATCAATGGTGAACGGTTATCATTTAATACTGCTTGGAGAGAAGTTGAATCTGTGTTGATGCCCATTATGCCCACAAATCATGCTCATTGGATGTTAGGGCAGCTTGATATTACTAACCATGTTCTTTACATATATAATTCAAGCAACAAATCAAATAAGGACAACAAGGTTCGCGAAGGGGTTTTATCGCTTGTGAAGACTCTTACACACCTTTTAAAATTTGTCGGGCTATGGAAGGAAACTAGTGATAGTATTGGTGACAAATCTGGGGAACTGCATGTTAATATTGTCCGTGGTTTACCCCAACAACAAAATGGGTAAGTTTCGTTATGGGCATTGCAAGTTTTATCATTTTCCATCAACATTTTGTAATTACTTATGGTTTGTCTTCTTTAAATATTACAGGCATGATTGTGGGGTTTTTGTGATAAAGTATGCACAGTATTTGTTGCACAATGATCTTGGCAATATGCCGATGTCATTTGATGCTGGGAATGCCAGACTTGAAATTGCAGCATTGCTGTTCAAAAATAAGCAACTGAAGCAGATTGGAAAGGGAAGTTCAAAGTCAGATGAATGAACTCCTGTTGATGACATTATTTTCATGATGGATTACATTGATAACTGTTCAAAATTAGACAAACAGATATTTTTATGATGTAGTTGATAGATGTTATCTTTGTAATATGTTTTGGAATTGAATTTGAATTTGTTTTTGTTAATTGGTACAAGGTAAAAGTATTGGTGTTTATGTGAATGATTTTGTTTATATCTTCTAAGTTTTTTATGGATGTAAAAGTCTATATTCGAACAGTCTGAACAGGTCACGTGAGAATACTGCAGAGTCTAACCAGGTCACAAATAGTCACATGCGAGTAATGTGTTATATAACCGCAGGTCACAAATCGTCACAAATAGCAACAGTTGGTTAATTTGCATGACTTGAATAGGTCACAAGTGATCACATATGAGTACTTTCTTATATAACTGTAAGTCACAGATGGTCATAAACATAGTTTTCTTGTTTTTACCTTTCGATTTCTCACATCATTGCTCATTTCCCTTAACAATTTCTCATATTTTGTTGCAAGCTTTGTGAAAGTGCCATATGCGTCATCTCTATTTTTGCAAAAACCAAGATTGGACCATTTGCCTCAATGATTCTAGAAGTGCTTCAATGAGGTAATTTTTTGCCGCCTTCGTGATTTATCATCGACACTCTTACAAAAGAAGTAAGCATAGAATTGGTCCCATCTAGTGGAAGATGACATTCAGGTTTAGTTTGAACACACAAGTTGGTCTCCTCTAGTGGAAGATGACATTCAGATTCAGTTTGAACACACAAGTTAAACAAAAAATATAGAGTTTATTTTATGCTTGAAATGGTCACAGACGGTCACAATCATCAAAAACAGAGTTACAATCAATGTTTGTTTACACAGCCCTTTTCTAGAAATAAGCGACATCGTGAGAATAACGAAAGCTCAATGCATAAATCTATCAACTTGTATAATCCAAAAAATACGT